TAACTAATTACTTCTCTTAAACTCTAATGGGGTTACTTTACTTATTCCTTTACTCATTAGTTAAAAAGCACAGGAGAAAACCCAGAAGTCTTTTTCTTTGTTTAGAAATAAACAGCCAATCACAGTAGACATCATTTAAAAGGCCTGCCTATAAGCAACACACAGCCAGTTATGCTTGATTATACTTATAAACAGCTGATGCTGTTTAAAATCTGATCGGTGACAATGCCACAGCCATCCGTAAGTGGCCTCACTCTCCTGCTCCCTCTCCCTCTATCACTCAGTGTTTGTGTTTACATGCAAAGATTTTTGCACGATTGAATCTGATGAAAATCTCCACTGCGCACTACAAGTAGTCCGATCCAAAATTGCGTGGGGAACCACTTAGTGAAGACGTTACCATGACAAGGAGCATCACGTGAGTCCAGTCAGAGTGAGATGAGCAGCAGTGATCAGTGCTTGTGTTTTTACTTGCTTTAAAATGATGTCAGACTCAGGAAAACGTGCTTCACATGTACTTATTAAGGAAGGGCAAGAGGAAGACGTCATGTTCTGAGACACATAAGCTGGACGTCCGTCCCACCTCGGTCTTTTAAAGCTCAAAGCATAAACTTTCGTCTCCTCTGTAGACCCGTTTCTGCTCCTGCCATGTTGAATGTTATACACTTTCACTATGACGCAAAAACACATGCGCAGAACGTCCTTAACCTTTCTGATCAGGAATGTAATCAGATACAGGCGTTTACATGGTTGATTTTTTACAGGATTACCCAGGAAGTTGTATTCTGAATGGACTCAATCAGACTAGTCTATTCCGATTGAGGTGTATACATGGAAATATTCTATTCCGAAACTAGTCAATATGAACATTTCAAAACTGAATACAATCTTGAAAAAAATTTACAGAGCTGTTTCTGAATGAAAATCTGTTGAATTTGGGGCTCTTTCTTTTTCAGCATAGGGGCCTTTGTTCATTAACATTATTAGTTGCTTCGACAGAATGCTTGCTGTGTTTACAGTACTTCACTGCTCATGTTCACATTCTAAGTCACGTGATCAGCTGTTGAAAATAGTGCACACACACGCAAATAGCATACAAGGACAGGCACAAATAACCTATATAGAGGAAACATTCTTAATTGCACTACATGTACTTACAATAGCTCTCTTAAAGACATTCCTTACGTGAGTAAGTCAGTAACTATTTTGTGATTACACAGTAGTTTATACTGTAATATTGCACTGCTTTGTTACAGGAAAAAGTAATCACATTACTGCAACACACACACACACACACACACACACACACACACTTACCCTGGTCCCCCTGTGAAGCCTCAGAGATGTTGACGGCCAGTTGGCTGCTGAAAGAGTTGACCCCCATCATGCCGGAGTGCGCGCCCGAGCCAGTCAGCGAGGGCAGCTGGTTATGGCTGCGGGGGACACTGTAGAGCGCTTCGGTCAGATCAGCCGCCCGCTTCAGAATGATCTCCTGAGAAAGAGATACATAGAGAGAAAAATAGAGAGAAAAGAGAGAGAGTGACAGAGAGAGAGAGAGAGAGAGAGAGAGAGAGAGAGAGGTTTTCACTTTTATTGATTCAGGGCAATTCAAACAGGATAGCAAATTAGCCACTATATTATTAAAGATAGACCTACATAAAAAGGAGTAACACTTATTTTGATGTCCCACTGTTTGATGATTCTTTTGTCTTTAATTGACGTTCAGCAAAATATCTACACTTCCTTTACTCTAAACACTCACTCTAATCCTAACCTTAACTTCGAGCCAGAACCTAAACTTTACCCTAAACTTTGCATAATTACATTATTAACCCCTTAACAAGCCACAGGCCCACTGGCAGGTACAAAGTTATATTACACACTTCTATAACCTAAGAATACTTCCATTAGTTTGCATTGAAGTCCCTGTAGTTACTGAATTAAAAGCCTTTTTATGACATAAACCTAAAATGTTGAAGGGTTAATTGCAAAATACATTATGTAAATGAACTGCATTTACATCTGATTCACATTCTGTAGCACTTCTGACTTTTATCTATTTAAATGTCAAAAAATGACAAAACTAGAAAAAAAGTTTTTCTGCAAAACTGTATGCATAATACAGTAATAAAAACACTAAGGAGTCACCTTCAACAGAAGTTCTTCACTAGTTTCAATGAGCTACAGGTGATAATTTCGATTAACCCCTTAAATGGCCAGGACTTACACTTACACACTTCTATGACTTAAGAATAGCTCAACCAGTTTGCACAGAAGTCCCTGTAGTTACTGAATAATAAGCCTGGGAATCACACAGTTCTAATGTTTGAGTTTCTATAACAAAATGAATCCAGCAAACTAGGAAAAATGTTGGTGTTAAAGTTTTTTCGTTTGTTTGTTTTGACTGTTTAGGGACACAATAATGTAGATGTACCTGATTATTGTGAGGCATTCCATAAAGAGCTTCCACCAAATCTGCTGCCCTCTTCAACAGCACCTCCTAAACACACACACACACACACACACACACACACACACACAAATACACACACACACAATCAGCATCATAATTTCGACCAAATTCACCTCAACCACAACTGCTTTTATTTTACATTCCTTTCTAATTCAACACAAACCTTTTCCTTACAAATTCTATTATCAGCATAACAATTTGAGTGAAAGTAGAACATTTGAATGTTTACATTAATATCAGAATTCTTCCAGAATTCTGTTGTTTATTTCCAGAAATGAATGAAAGAATACCAGATTTTCAATGTAAACTCTTAAACTCTATATCATTCTCTATCTATATATTACCCTGTTACTTGTCACTGTTAACAATGTGTAAATATTTCATAATGAATTGACTAACAGAAATGGTCAAAAAGTAGAATTAAACATCATTAAATTACTAAATACAAAGCAGAAATTTCACTGATTTTTTCACATTTTCTTCATAATTCAAGCATTGAAATGTAAACAAAGTCGCTCCAAGTTGTTTGGTGTAAAATGGTTTATTATAGAGAAACATACCAGCTCTGATTTCTCTGGTGGCGATAGGAACCAGGGGCCATGATGTCTACAATGCAAATATAACCATTTTCTTTACTATCTGAAATGACCAGTGAACCTACGTGTGTGTCCTGAGGTTTTATAATGCTGATGATGGTAAAGTACTGTTAAAGGGTTGTCTTTGGATATGTTTGCATGTTTTGTCTCAGGCAACAGGCAGTGAACTTGGACCCATTTAGTGCAACAGCTTTCTGTGAGGGAGCTTTTAGAGGCATAAGTCTCTTTAGACATCTGGTTCCCATCCCCACCACTGAGGTAAGTTTCTGTAGAATTGGACATTTCACATTAAAACAGTCTGAATAACTTTGTTTACAACTTCATGATTTTAAAGGGAATCCAAACTTTTTTGCTAAATTTCCACAGAATTAAATGATTAAGTAGAAAAGTCATTCAAAGTGTTTATAGTGGTGGTGATCCAAATGTCTGAAGAGTTTAATTGCCACTAAAATCTCCCTCGCAGAAAGTTATGACATGAACTGGTTATGAATATGCTGCCTAAGCCTGTGACATTGTTTTACAATCATCATCATTACATATGCAAACCCAGAAGACACATATAGGTTCACTGGTGGTGTTGAATAGCAAATAAAAAGGCTGTATTTGAGCTGTAGACATGGCAACCCCTGATTCCTATCACTACCACAGTAAATGAATCAGAGTTGGTAATGAACCATTTCACAGCAAACCACTCTGAATGACTAAATGTTGACATCTCTGTGATTGAATTACACACTTTTAAAAACTGGTGAAATTCCCCTTTAATTATGGAGAATTTTTTTAAAAAATGGTGGAATTCTTCTTTAATTGAGGAGAAATGTTAAAACATTGGTGAAGTTCCCCTTTAAAGTTAAGAACACATTTTCCCATCTACTATTAAGTTACAATTTCAAAAACACATGATTTTTTTACAACAGTGACTCCATATCAATAAAACATATTTGCATGTTATAAATGTGTACAGAAAAATGTCAAAGCAAATTAAAGTGAAAAATTCCTGTGAAATGGTTTAAAAAAACAGCCCTTTCTTGCTCAATTAATTGAAATGTACTGAACCCAAACTGTGATATATGAGTGCGGAGTTGTGTTAAGACGCTGAAAGTATTAAAACGTAATTATTATTACAGAGCAGACATGGCAGATACAGGCACGAACAGCCAAAAGAGTGATGTGACAATAAGGGCAGGAAAAAACAGCTGCCTGCATTTCATTTACACCACACACACACACACACACACACACACACTCGCACACACCTAACCTGTGCCAAAACACACGCTGTCTCTATTCCTGGCTTGTGATCCTTTTAAAGGGCCCATATCAAGCAAAATTGTCCTTGCTGTTTGGAAAAATTATGCATTTGAAAACGTACCACTCACTCTCCAGACAATATAGACCATATAAAGAAAGACGCAAAAACAGTTTGTATTGAATTTCCTGTTTTTGTGATGTCACAAAAACCAACACATTTCCATATGTCTGCCTACTGAGCCCACATTAGTTTAGCCCCACCCAATCATGCTGAAGGCTGAAGTTATAAAGAGTGTATCCATTCAGAACAAAAGTCATACATATCGCTGTTGTCAAAACAAAACCTTCTATCTCCATTTTTTGTCGCTTTTCAGTTTTTGACATTATTTGAAAATACCTGTTGTCCTTTACACTGTGTGTACATTTCATGATGAATGGACTAAAAGAAATGGCCTAAAATTACATGGAAAAAATTCTGGTTCCATTGACTTACATTACAAGTAAAGTATGTTTTTTCATTCTCCCTTAAAACTTCCATTTTGGAGATACAACGTTTTGTTCCAAATGCAGCGATATAAATGAAGGATATAGGCCCTTCAAAATCCACATCTGCCTTGCTGATGCTTAAAAAACTCAAAATAATCGAACAGAAATGCAATCAAAATGCACCAGTTTTCAACATAAAGCAATACAGTGATCATAAAACCCTCATAACCGTAACATAAACATCCATACAGAAGCCATAGTTCTCCACTAACATACTATTTAAGTTTACTCCTGGACTAAACCTGGATTCCCCTTAACATATCCTGTTGAAGGGGCACTCCAGCCAAAAATGAAAAGTGTGACCATTACTACATTTGTTGCAATCATGCCTACTTGCCCCCTACAGTTGTGCTGCAATAGTCTCTAGAGTGAGGTTTTCCACTTAAAATACAAGAAAAAAGCGTCTTCTGATGATGTATCTTGAAGGTGGGAGGAGCAATTGAACTAAAAGGGTGGGGGTGCTAGCTGGCAATTGCAGAATTGCCAGACACAGTCTACTTGAAAGTTTGTGAACCCTTTAGAATTTTTCTATATCTCTGCATAAATTTCACCTAAAACTTCATCAGATTTTCACACAAAGTCTAATATTAGATGAAAAGAACCAAACTAAACAAATGAGACGAAGATATTAGACTTGGTCATTTATTTATTGGGAAAATGATCCAAGATCCAAATTGTGATTTCGAAAAGTTTTAGGTCAAATTTATGCAGAAATATCAAAAATTCTAAAGGGTTCACAAACTTTCAAGCACGACTGTAGCTACCATTACTGCTAGAAAGCTGAATATCCCATCAGTATGTATTAGCCTCTACATCAGTGCATCTCTTTATCACCATGGATGCATCCCCAATAGTTGTTTGATGTATTTGTGCAATGCATGCTGGGTTGTGTAGTGAGAAAACATTTATGTATGAAAACAAAAGGATACAAACTCAATCAACTGAATTCTGTCAAAGCAATGAGGAAGAGGGATGCTATGCTGCCCCACACATGACAAATAGCATATTAAATGCTAGTTTTAGGCTGGAATGCTCCTTTAATTGCTCAGTTTGTGTAAAAGAACTGGTAGAAAGTCATACAGAGATAAAGAAAGTGAACACATTAGTATGATTGCTTAAGCTGATCTTTCAATCAGAAGTGCTATGTAGCTAACAGTGAATGAATCCCGCTGAGAAGTGGCTAGCGCAGTCTCATATGCACTATGTTAGCCAGTCCCTACTGGCCTTCATTCATTATTAGTATTATTAGCGGGTTTTGGGTGAAGTAGCCCTTTAACACTTAATGACGGCCTGCGGTGCTTCCTCTGCTTCCAGACGCGAGCTTATTAGAGACACGGTGCATCTGTTTATTGAGTTTCTAATTCCCACTTTCAATTGTGAGGCATTCCATAAAAACCATCCGTTTCTCTCTCTCTCTCTCTCTTTTCTTTTTTATTTTTCTTTCTCTCTCTATCTCTATCTCTCTCTCTTATTCTAGCCCTCTCTTTTTTTATTGCCATCGCTCTCGCTGTCTCTGTCTCTCTCTTTCTGTCTCTCTCTGTCTCTCTCTCTGTACTGTTTATTGTGACAATGTGGACTATTTTTTGCTGTATGGGGAGGACCTGATGAACTTAGGGGGTTTGTGTTAAATGTGTGAATTGACCTCTCTGTAACTTGGCTAAGTTGCTTTTTCTTTATTTGTCTTTTTTTCATTGTTATGTTTTAGAATTTATTCTGAGTTGGTTGTGACCGCTCTTATTACGCGGACAATGGTTGATTAAAAGGGTTTCAAAGTCAAAGTTTCTCTCTCTCTTTCTCTCTCTCTCCCTCTGTCTCTTTTTCTCTCTGTCTCTCTCTCTCTTTCCTATTGCCACAGGGCTGCTTCCTCTCCGCTCTAAAAGAGGAAAGATCCAATCACAGCTCCTGATCTGGCCCAGCGGGTCGCCGTGACGATCCCCTTTTAATAACAATAACACAGCTAATAAATAGATAAATACAGCCTGGCGCTGGGAGTGTGGGCCGCGGCCAGAGAGGCTAAACAGGGCAGACGCGCACACACATTCAAAACACCCTCTTCTCTCTCTCTCTCTCTCTCTCTCTCTCAATCTCTCTCTCTCTTTCTCTTTCTCTCTCTCTCTTTCTCTCTGTCTTTCTCTTTCCTCCGTCGCTCTGAGTATAGCTGGTATTATGGCAGCCTCTGCTGGAGGTCTCTAGGGTATTGCACTGAGGTGGGGCACACACACACACACACACACACACACACACACACACACACGTAGTAAGAATGCTGAATGAGATAAAAACTACTAAGAGATCACTATAGGGATGAAAAAGTCCTTTCACCCCATTTTTTAGAAAAAATTTCATGCTCCGCCCACAAAATACATTCTTTGCATTTGCATTCTGTGGCTGTTTGAGTAAGGCCTTCAGTTTGGGCCATAAATGATAAAAAATGAGGTCATCGATGCGATACATGATATAATAATGCAAATTTTCTCTAGCGCCTCTATAGGATTCTAGTAGTATGTTAGTCTAAGCAAATGTATACACAGATATTTGGCATGTGCAAAACAAATTTTATGCTTTATTGCAACCTTGTAATGCATATATATTATATATATATATATATATATATATATATATATATATTAAAAA